AAAGCTTTCTGGAGTCAGGAAGAATTTCGGGAAGACTGATGCAAATGTTATCACGAATGCTCTTAAGAAACCAAAGATTTACTGCCTGTCACAAGTCAATAACATTGAAAGAAAACAGAAGTCTCCCATCCTTCTGCTGTCATGCTCAATCTTGAATCACAGGAGAAGCAGTTCAGGTCACCTGTAGAATTACTAGGGCTAGTAAGAGATGATGATGAAAACTAAACATTAACTTTTAAATCGAGCTGATATCTACCTCCATTTGTTTCTGTTCTCCCCCTTTTTCCGTGTAACTGCTAAGCCAAAATATATGCAAACAAATATGTTAAATTTAAACTTAAGTATACACAGAACTCTGTAAATTATGCCATGCTATCAGGGTACAAGGTTTAAGGTGAGTTTCTAAGATATTACTAATTACAAATCTGAGAGACAGAAAAGAAAACATAAGACTAGGGTCTGTAGCATAGCTCACTTTTATTGTTTAAACAGTTTTTGCATAGGAAATATATCCGCTTCCAGTAATTGACTGCAGTATGAGCAGCTGCTAGCAGTATAGGCTGGATATAACAGTAACAATCACATTAAGTCAAGCTTGATTTACACCAGTTTAAAACTTGTGGCAGTTGAGTTCATTTGTAACCTAAAAAAAAAAAAAAGTACCAAAAAGAACATTATTATCCTTCAACCAGGCATGATAAAAACCTTTGTTAACATTCAGGCGAAAAACAGGTCTGATGCCAGAGGGCCCTAATTCCAAAATTAAGTAGCTGCACTGTAATGCATCCTACTAGTGAAGGTTCATTACACAAAGACTGTGCCTGCACCTTCTTTTCAATTAAAATGTAACCTTCAGGATTTATGGCCTACAGTATGGGGAAAAATGCCAAAAGTTTTAAAATGGATCAACCCTGGTGTGTAGCTAGCAAGCAATAACTGACTACTTGTCACCTACAGTTGTACTAAATGTATCTAAAGAAACACACAGCCCTACAAAAGTTGTTCTCAGAGAAATATTGAGAAGGGGTGCCTCTTCCCAGCTTACTAAAAGTTCTATATGATATAAGCACAAATTAACAGCTTGATGAAGACATAATCTAATGCAGCTCTTGAGAAGCCTATGCCTGGGATAGAGGAACCCCTCACATTCTACAATTTTGTAGAGAATCTTTTTTTTGAAGAAGAAGAAGAAAATGTAATCTGAAACATATTTACAACTGAACTCAACAGAGACTGTGAAATTGAACAGGCACTGCTCATTTGTTTGAGTTTTTTGGTAAACATTTTGCTGGTTTTTGTTTCTTTCTCATTTTGCATCAACTTTTATCAGTCCATGCAACTTCAATGCCCTCAATGAAGAATGCATAATAAGCCATACTTCTTAAAAAACTTCCTTCTGCATATAGAGATAGATTTGCCACATCAGTCCCTGTAGCACAGTTTCAAAACCATTCTGTCAAAAATACAGTAATACAAAGACTAGCTTTAGTGTCACTAGCTCACACTGCTCTCCATTTATTTAGGCCACCTTTTGTTTTACTGTTACCATATCATGCAATAAAAGTATCAAAGGCTTATTCTAGGATATTATGATGCTAGTGGCACTGAAGCCCTTTTCACAAATTCAACATACATTTGAATTGCAACACACAGATATTTCTAAAGAGTACTAACTAGTGAACCCTTTTATCATTAAAAAAAAACAAAACAAACCAACTACTTACAACCATTGAAGAAAAATTTGCAACAAAAAATGTAAAAATTGACCGTCTCCAACTTGTCCCCTTTACTATTAACAATGTGACCAACAGAGCTGTGGCATGGAAACAGTACAAAGAGTTGTCATGGCAATAAGTTTGGCTGATGCAAAGGTCATTGTGCAGGGTTAAAGGGCAAAATCAGTGGTCCATGTTATCCTCCAACTGCAGTGCTCCACCACACCCACACAATTTTGAGGCATTAGAGAAAACTGGGGAACTAGCAGAAAGTGCAAATATGAAGGAGGCAGTTTTCAGCTCCTTCAGCATGGAGTAGAACATTCCGTTTGGAGCTTTTCCTGTTTAACTTGATTAGCCTGCATATGATTTTACACTCTCCTTTTTCTTTCTAGATTTTTTTCTATAGAAACCCAATAAAAAAAAAAAAAGTCCAGGAGCATGCAGCTGGTTAATGTTAACAAAAGACCTCGACAGGATCATGTAAACTATATTGGATGTCATGCTTAGGGCCTTACTGCCAGCAACATTAGAGAGCTGTTTCATTAGAAGTGAATACTGTACACTGAATATGGGATAACTTTCTGCAGCCTTCATAACCTCACACAGTAAATATAATTTAGATTTAGCTACAGAACACACTCCGGTGTCACAGCTGAGTATGTCCTTGTGCAATCTCTTTCATTAAGTCCTTATGAAGCTACAAGTTGCAAATCCAAAATTCTGCTCCCTGAGGACACAGCTATTTGAGACATAAGTACTGTTTTAGTTCTCTGCCTATCCTGAATTGCTCTGTGAACCTAATCTTAAATACCATCATGTAACAACCACAAAAACTTTTGCTAAAGGCCATATATACTAATAAAAAGACAGTGGTGCTTCCAACATTTTGAAATGCTCTGAAAACCAACTTTTCCAATACTAAATACAACAAAATAACCTTCATAAAATATAACTTTTCTCCATTTACATTTTTAAAGGATTAGCTACCTATGCTTTTCAAGCACAGGCATCTGCAGAATAACTCCTAACATGGACAGATTTCTTTTCTTAATACATAAATTAAGAAACTGGAGAGTTTTAACCCAAGTCCAGTTTCCAAACAAAGAATATTCTTGTTTAAAAATGGAAATGACATGCATTTCCATTATAATTGTTAAAAAAGTTAGCTTTACAAACAAGGGTATTTTAATTAAAAAAAAATTCTTAACAAAACTATACAGTGTACAAATTACTGTCTACAAGGTAGGCGGTTCATTCAGAAGATCCTCCTCTCTTCTCGCTACTTGCAGCTTTACAAATTCATTCACATATTTTCAATGGAGCTGCCCACCTCAACATCACCCCACACCTATATTGCTATAATTAATATTTTTGCCATGCCTTTATGTACAGTCTCCTTCACTGCCTTTTTTTTTCCTTAGTCAAGCCTCAAACGTTCATGTCACAGGGGAAACACACTTCAGTGGCACAGCCAAGAGGCCAGGGCTGCAAAGCAACTTAATAAAGGCAGAACAGTGCACATAGAACGGGGTGGCTCAATTCAGTCAGAATACACTTCCTGGTGAAGGAGGAGGCTAGAGACTGGATTTGAGTTCTCAATCTTAATCTTTTGACTGCTGATCTTAAAAAAAACCCAAACAAACAAACAAAAAAAATCCAAATACCTACAAACCAAACAAAAAAAAAAAAAAAAAAAAAAAAAAAAAAAAGAAAAAAAACAAAAAACACCAAACCAAACCTACTTTTAATGAAAAGTTCATTTTCTTCCAAACAGGCTTTTCTAGTAGAGAGGCAAGTTCAAAAAACCCACAGTTGCTTAACAACCAAATTCACCCACATGCAAGGAGTCTGCTTTTTAAAATACTGTATTTGTAAGCTCAGTATTTCTCATACAGGAGGTCTGAGATAACAAAAAAAGCTCTGTTAAGGGCATCCATCTTCCCACAAGGACAATCATCATTTTGATTATTGACTTATATATATTGACTTTGAAGCCTGAATTGTCAGTTTCATCCTGGTGTGCTATTAAAAGCTCAAGGGGGACACCTTGCTAATGCTACTAATCAAGGCTCCTCTGCTCCTGAACTGCTCAGCATCAGTGGGGTGAAGAAACGTTGTTTTACAGGCGAGAGCCTGAGGTGCGCTCTGGGTGGGTCTAGCGCATTTCAGTAACACAAATAGGCAAGTGCTTAGTGAACAAACTCACTTGTTAAGGCGCTCAGAAAAAAAGTGACATAAAATTGATTTTCATTTTTTTTATGTCTTATCTTTTTATGTAGGCTTGCTTTTTTTCAGCTTAACTATAGATAAATCTCAAAGATTTGCTTCTCTGGCAGTTCCCGTCTCTGTAGGTGTGCTGGCCCTGCCTACACACGAATCTCCTGCTGGAGACATGAGGATGTGCCACCACTGCAGCTCTTTACCTGCCGCACACTGACCAGAGCAGGAAGGGACTGACTTTGGTGTGCCACTGCTCTGCGCTTCGTGAGGTGGCTGTCACTGGAGCTGTACTCTGGGGCTGCTACATGGTAGGAATACATTCAAAATGCAGAGACAACTGCAAAGGGATGGATTTTCCCACCACAGTATCACAAACCCACAGGTCTAACTCTGCTTGTGCCCTAACACAAGGTGTGTTTTTAAGAAAAAATCACCCCTTGTTCAGACATACATCTCAAAGATCCATGCTGCATCAGAAGTCCCCAGCAAGAGGTCCACTACTGATCTGCAAAATGCAATGGAAATACGCTTTTATTTACATCATAATCTAATTCTGTGCATTAAGAAGCTCCTTCCTTGCTAAAAGCCCAGAGCTCTCCATCTGACCTGCTGTATGAGAAGACACTGCAAACCTCTGAGAAAAACAGCCTGAAATTGTAAATCAGATGCTGTGAGTTAACAAATGTGGGAGGCTAAAAAAAAGAAGAATAATATTTTGACATGGGGGGGGGGGGGAGGGGAGGAAGACTATTTACCAGTTGAGCAGACTAAGGGAGGCAAATTCTCTGCAGGAGCAACTCTGCTGTCAGTGGAGTTACGCCAGCAAAGACTTTGGCCCTCTTTCTGCATTTCCTAGACAAAGCAACTGTCTTTGTCATTCTGAGCTAAAAACATTTTCTAACATGAACACTATAGGATGCAGCATCCTTGCCAGAATGGAAAAGGCTTCATCTCGCTGTGGGTCTTGACCTCTTTCTCTGTGTCTGTCTCTCTGTCTCTCTCTCTCTTTCTCAAGGAAAAAAAAAAAACAAAACCAAAAAAACTTAATTTCCTCAAGTCAAGTCTGCCTCCAACAGAATTCATTATTTATTTTTAAAATCCAGAAATGATTTTAGCTTGCACCCCAGGTGGGAAGTTAAAAAGAGGGAACCGATTTGAAAGTTTGTCACAGTAGGCAGAACAGTCGCTTTGCAGCCCTTGCCTGGCTAAGGGTGCACTGCTTCACAGCTACACTGTAAAGTGTTAAAAATCCTCCCCACCCACCCCAGAATATATATATATGTATGTATAAAAAAAAAATCCCCTGTCCACCTCTCAGTACAGAAAAGGACCTCATCACACTGCAAAAATAGCAGTACCCACTTTGGTCAATTAAAACAAACAAAAAAAAAAGCATACTTTTTTTTTTCTTTTTGTTTTAAATCTGTGTACTTACCTATAATAACCAATACAGCTAAAAGCACTACCTACATAGGCAAAACTTGGTATTGCATAATTCATATAAATTTGTATCCCCTCCCCCCAATATTAATTGGAAGATGAAAAACATGAAAGGTTAATAGAAAAAACACCAAAATACTGAAAATATTGCTGGTTGATTACAATTTTTAAGCGGCAACTATACACAGCCATGATATGCTTTATAAATGTGAGATAAAGGTATAACTGTCTAAAAAATCCATGATGTCACGCTTTTTTCCCATCTGGAGTACAAAATATTTTGTCATAAAAATGGTAAAGATTTAAAATTATAATAAATGCAGCAAAACAAGTGTAGTGATGTCAATTTTTTTTGTGTGTTTTTTTTTCTTTTTTGTGTTTTTTTTTTTCCATTTTTTTAGATTTCAAGGCAAGGCACGTAATGTGGACATTATAACTTCGTGCAAATCAGGATTACTGGAAAGAGTATTTTAATTATTTTTTTAAAGAGACATAGAGGCAAAATGTCTGCCCATGCACGTTATATTTCTGTCAATATGTGATAATTGTTGAACAAGGCTAACTTCTGAAAGCACCATGCAAGTTTTCAGCACCCTGCAACTAAACTTACGAGTGCATTATTTAAATATAACATATCCCCATCCTGGTATTACCAGTTTGTAAACGGTAAGCTTTGCCCTTGTGACATGGATTTGCCTATCTCTTTGTCTCTATGATGCAGATTTTACAGAAACATGTAAACCCTATGGGTTCTTGATGCAACCAGTAACTTTAAATAAATAAATCCTACCCCTGTGTGGAGGCAGCAGCTAAACCAACATAAGTGCTGTGTTTCCATTGATTTCTTTTTCTCAAGGACATGATTTGTCTTGATTTAATGCCTTTTAATGCCCTCAAAAACTGAGGGGAAAAATAAGTTTGTTCAATGTAATTTTTATTTCTATTTTTAATCCCCTCAATTTAGAGTCCAAGGGCTGAAGGACTTATAATGATGACCCATTAGATACGATTTTTAAATTGCACTTGCCTCTGTAAGTGTTTCTTTAGTGGGGAAAACGTTCATTTTTTTCTTTTTCTTTTTTACTGTTGCATGAGGAGATAACACTTATACCTACGTAGAGGTGTTTCTTCCATAGAGCCTGTGTGTTCATATTTGATTGAAAATGTCAAACTGCATAACACACTAGAAAAGGCTGAATTAAGGGCCAATGTTTAATAAATCCATACTAATAACTAAAGGCTACAGAGTTTATTTTTAAAACATCTAGAAATCAGAGTGTTGAGAAAATGGCTGGCTACGGCCCTTGTCCTCCTGCAGCTCTGTTGCTGCTGCCTAGCCTTTGTTTTGTGAGATAACCAGGAATAGTGATCCCATGCGTAAACAACAAGAATACTAAACCAATAAAACTAGCTTATCATGCAAATATTAAGGCATCTAGAAAGTCAGTTAAAATATATTGTCAGAGACAGAACATCTATTTCCCAGCGGACTTCATATAACAAAGGCTACTTAGCAGGGGCTGCATTCTACTCATCAGTGAAATATCATCGACCCTTTGTATGTCGTTTCAGTTTCAACCATAAAGGAATTTGTGATTGTAAGAGCTGCAATTGCTGGTCTATTTTTTCTTCTTCAGTTTCTTTTCTCCTCCTGTCTTCCTTTCTTTTTGAAATTTGTCTTCTTTTTTTTATTTTTATTTTTCCCTCAGTTGCTTGTTTCTGCTTGAAGGAAAGGCTCTCCAATTATGTTCAAACCATAATTTGGGACGTTTGTTGGCAGGATCGGTGTCCTATTAGAAACTTGGAAAGGAACCAAGCTAGCCCAGGTACCAGGACTGTTAAAAAGGGGAAAAATGTAAGGAGAGAGAAAAAGAGAGAGAGAGAGAAAGAGAAAAAAAAATATAAATTAATCACATTGTAAAAAGAAGAACACATAGAATTTGAATCGTTAAGCCATATCCATTATTAATAGCACAATAGTAATATTATTCATTATATTATTAATAAGATAAAATAAGAAACTAAGTTTGTGCATATTGCCTGAGATTCTACTTCATAGTTTTATCTGTAAAAGTATGACTCATTTGAAATTAAAATCACAGTGTTGATCTCAGTTACAAGTAGTATTATTGCTGTCTTTTAGCACTAAGTGGACTGTTTGTTTATGAAAGCTCCCAAAAATTTCACATGCAGATATATAGAGCAGACACAACTAAGCCATACATGTGACACTATATAGCACAAGGATGTTATTTAAGAGCTAGTCAAATACACTACAGTGCACAGGTTGCTGTTTCCAAGAATACAATATACATGTTCAGTGGTTCAGCTTCCTGTTCGATTTCCTACCCTCTTGCAACATGGCAGTTTATCTTGTCTCAGCCCCAAGATGAGCCTCTGACATGTGTGGGTCCCCAGAGTACCCTCAATATTAAAAAAAAACTTGCTTTCTTTATAGATTTTTCTCAAAAAGTATCAGTGCCTAAGGAACACTGTATAACACAAGGGCCCAATCATGTAAGCACTTGTAGCCAAAGGTAGCCACAAGTCAACAGTAGCAGTAAGTACTATAAATTTTTCAAAAAAAATTTGAGAAAGAAGATGTTTTCCAAGGCAATTCAATGACTTTGGGACTTAAGTCATAAAAATAACTTTGTCACTGAGGAGCTTAAGTCCCAGCGGCATTCACACGTTTAGCAGACACAAACCTGTAGCAGGTTGGTAAACCACAAGCCCCCATCATTTCCAAGATGGATACCCAAAGAAAGACATCAGCTGCCTCTATTCAGTACTCAGAGCAGACCCTGAGCTGCCTGTTCCTTAGAAATAATGGACTTTAGAGAAAGTCTTGTAAAATTATTCAAAAGAAAACCAGCATCATTATGTCAGCAATCACTGCCAAACACCAGAACACTCTGTGCAAACACATGCTTCTCCGCTTTTCATTGTGATTGAGTTTTGATCCACACTAGGTGTTTCTACAAACACAACACCTTACGTGGGAATTCACACTGTGATTAGACAGATAAGCTTCATGGTAACACATTTGAAGACTAACACCTCTGACATATGTTTTGTGGATGATAGATGCTGGAAGTTTTCTTTCTTTCCTGTCTTTGGTCACCCCTCTGCACTGCTCTCTCTCTGTTTGAGCAGGTGCACTTCTGTAGCAGTGGGTGTAAAGAGGAAACAGGTCATTTTTATCTATTTTATATGGGTATAAAATAACTACATTTCACTTATCAGATTTCTGTAATCCTTTCTTGTTTATGTTGCTGCATAAACAGTAAGAAAAGAGGTCAACTTATTTTGTGAGCTCCAAGGGGCATGTTCCTAAAGGCTTTTGTATTAAAAGTAATATGAACAGCTTCTGTCATTTGCTCCTGTTTGATACTCTTTACCTCTCTAAATTTGTTAACTTATTACTTAAATCCCTAACAATTAATTTCTGGTGCTGTTTGCACATTAAAAAGTGTAAAAAATTGCTGACCCGCTTGTCTCAATGACAATCAAATTCTGAAGGGAGTGGGAGTGGTTTCTGACAATCAAATTCCGAAGGGAGTGTTTTTTTCCTCAAAGAAATATAGAAAAATATGAATATCCTAATTTATTTTAAAGGTCTGAAGTATGAATATCATTCAAAGGGGTTGAAAATCTTTAAATATGCACAAAGACTTAAACCCACTTATGCATGAAAGATACATCCATTATGACCTGATGAAAAGATTATGTTTCAAAAACAAAAATTAAAAAATTCAGTAACAGAATCCCACTTAAGGGACTTAATTTTTTCAACTTATGCTTCATCTTCTTCACAATTTAAAAAGCATTTTTGTTCCTTCCTCTTTGGATTTCAGTAATAAAGAAGCAAATTCTGAAATCTCAAACACAATGCAAATTGTTTTCAAGCATGGGGATTTGTAAAAATAGAGAATAGTAATAAAATATAAGAAGAAAAAAGAAAAATCCCAACCAGTTTTGTTTCCTCAGGATCTGCCTGAACATACATTTTATAATGCACAGTTCTTTGCTGTCCTTTGGGATTTACAGTGTTTAGCGACTTTAAACAAAATAGAACATTAACTAAAAGAATGTAAATTTTATGTGAGGTCAGCATGGCATTCCGACAATTTCTGTTGCAAAGGCTAAATACACAGCTTCCACGTTATCTTTCTGAAGATTTACAGTGCACTTCAGTGGTTACATACATATGTGACTTTTTTCTTTGTTTTTCTTTGTTTTAAAGCTGACGGGCTTCTAATGATTACAGCAGGTGAAGAAACGCAGTCAGTGCTGATAAAGAACAAAGTACTATTTGTAGCAACTTTCTTATCTACTATTTCATGTAGGAGACAGAGATCTTGGTTTTGTGGGAAGTACTCAATAAAAATTAGTTGTGGCAAATGACCAATAGGACAGTTGCTACCATATGACCTATAAATTTAATAGGTGTTTATTTAAACCTTTTAAGCCTCCCACCTTATATTAAGACCATGACAAAAATGCAGGTTGCAACAAATTCATCAATGCTGCTTATGAGTCCTTAGAGGGTAAGAAAGCCTCTAAAGGCATGCTGAAGTCCCAGATCTGCACACACTCGCTGGGCAGCAGATGGCCCCCCCAGGCAGTTGGGAAAGACAGGACATCCACGCTACTCACTAGCACCTCCTACGCCATGATGTTCAAGGCTTTATGACCTCCAGTTGTATTTTACTAATTAACCCAAACATACTGCTCAACTCTATCTCCAGCCACTCCAGTCGTGATACCACCACCAAGTGTTTACTGCAGACAAAAGAGGAAATCTGAATAAAAATTACTGAGGTAATTAGCACTAATCACAGCACAAAGCTCTGAGAACAGTTATGACATAAACAATAACAAAAAAAAACCCAACTCAGTCTCCGCTAAGCTGCACATGCTGTCTAACATTCTCACGTATCCCATTGCATTTGCAGTAAATTTAACTGAACTTTCAATTACCATTCAAACGAAAGCCTGTTCTGTGCTCCTGTGTGCAGCCAAGCCAGACTGACAGCCCAGAAGAGGAAGATACCCTGTCAGCTTTCTCAAACCTACTCTAAAGTGACCTCTGTGAGCATCACAGTTTAGCTTCTGCCATGGAAACCATCTACAGTTTCTCTCCAGGGCATCCTAGCAGAAGCACACGTTACTGCTGACTGCAAAGCAATCTGTCTGGAGCCCACATGGATGGCAACAGCAGGAAAGGGGAGAACACCCTTCCCTTCACCACACTATCTACCAATTTGGAACATAAGTCCAAACTTCCAGCCTTTGGTTTCACAAAAGCAGGGGCAATGCTCTCTCTGTTCAACTAACTGCCTCAACTAAGTGCCACAGGGGAAGCCAAAACTCCTTTCATTGCCCAGCACATGGGCAAGCTGATTGTCCTTGCAGAAGTTAGTATGTCCCTCTGCCCATGTGGCTTCTCCTTCTGATAAAAAAGCTCTGCATGTATGAGTGGCATAAATCAGAGCTACCCTACCTTCCAGCTTGCTGTTCCAGAAGGAATCTGTAAGCACTGCACTGGCAGAGGTTATAATATAAATGCCCATCCCTTGAAATATTAAGTGATACCTCCAAAAGTCTGCTCTAGGCTAAGTTTTGAAGAAAATTACATAAGAAGTACCATCAGGAAGTGCTATGAGAGTCAGACTAGTAGGTTTTGTGAGAGAGAGTATGGTTTGCAGGACCACCTTCCTGAAGCATTATACCTCTAAGTCATTTCACTACCAGAAAGTTTTCTCTCACTATAACTAGACTACTAGTTGTTTCTTCAGTTCCCTCCACAGCAAGTATAACATATTTATCTGTTCAAATGTAACAAAATCGCAAGGAAAAAGTCTGCAAGCATCCTACAGGGTTAACATTATACTTTACAGTTTCTATTACAGTTTTCACATATTAATTCAATGAAGAGTTCTGCCATGATTTCCTCTTAAAAATGTTAACTGCTATTTCAAGAACCTCTGATTAAAATATCACTGGAAAGGACCACAAACAGTACTAATATTATGTCTGTTTTGGAAGTTATAATAACATAAAGAGTATAATGTTAAACGCAATTAAAAAAATAAAACCAATTAGATCTAAGTAAATCTGAAGGATTTCAAGATTTTTCTTTTCCACAAGTTACTACCTTCTTTCTGTTACAGCTTCAGAAGTCTGTGAAATTATTTCATCATTCAGAAAGTACACCTAAACCAGTATTTCTGTCTTGCACGAATGCAGTAGCTTAGAAGAGGTAGATCAGATCATGCCAGGTCAGTGATTGGACAGAAAAGGTAGAAATGCCTTCAGTGTCGAAAGAAATAGTACTAGCAAGTCACTGGGCTCATCTATCTCTGTACTAAGCAAGTGCTTGCCCACACAAGTACAAGGAACTTTGCCATTTCAAACTGTTAAGATTGTATGAAATTTGGGAATGTAATTGTGCTAACCTCAGTGCCCTGGCTAAACTCCCATTTGTGTGTTTCTGCCAAAGGAATAACCACCCCTCTAGCATCTACTTAATGTGGTACTTCTGTTAGCATTCTAAACTGGTGTCTCTAGTTACATAGCTGCCAAATTTCACCTCCAAGGTGAGCATTTATTTCAAGACATGTATTAAGTATCTCTCAACTTTATTTAGGATGAATTTTATAGTTTAGCAGGCACATATCACCCATTGAGCAGACAAAGGAGGCAAAAAGGAATTCTGCTGTAGTTCATATTGTATTCGCTTTCTGTGACAGTGTAAAAAAAAAGATCAGGAAAGATCAGGAAGAGGCCACAGAGCTCATTGCTAACAAAGAAAATCCTCAGCAGAGGAAGGGCCCAGAGAAACGATGCATGCACATGCTGCGCTCTGGACCATGCACATGAGTGTTTGGTGCAGAGACAGGACTACAGGAGGTTTGCAAACACATAGGAGCTATGACCCAGTGGAGAACTGCCTGCCACAGAGCAAAACTGTGGAGAACATGGGCTTGGGTTACCAGAGGCCATTGAGTCACCTACGAAATACTGACTGTCCACTTTCCACATCTACACTGCTTTTTTTCCCCCAAATGTTACCATTTCCACTTTTAATCTGTTGTATTGTTTATCTTAGCACTTTTTTAAAATATAAGTAAGAGTTGATTTATTAAATTGGCATGACTAAATAACAATGAAGCTAACCCTAACTGCACCAAAGAAAATAAAACAAACAAATAAAACCAAAACAGTGTAATTTTACTGTTCCAAAAGAAACAGTCCAAGGTAAGATACTCAGGAGGTAGAAAACTACAGTAACCAAGGGGTTAAAGATACAGTTCAGACTTGGGAATTCTCTGTAATATGCTCCTCCTTCCCTAGCAGTGCTGCCAAAAATCATCTGACAGGAAACATAAGATTAAGTTTGTCCTACCTAAGTGAACAAAGAGTGCTCAGAACAGGCAACCAGCTCACTGCAGACCAGTAACTTTTCTAATCCTGCTGAAATCTGCAGTGCTGCTTAGAAAATATTACTGAAGTTGTTTTCTTTAACATCTTGCTTCTGGATCATCTCATTCATTTTGGTCACACTGCTGTTCTTGCTGCTTCTCCCATAAAGGCTAACTTAAAGCTCCAAACATAATCATGTAGAAAATGAACATTATTGATTCCTATGGTCCATTGTTCCCCCATTCCAAGTCCCTGAAGTTCAAGTTCAAGCTGGAATTACATCATGTCTGGTTTCTCCTGGTTACCAGACAGCTTGAGACGTGACCACAGCTACAGAAAAAACAAACAGCCTTCTTCACGCTTCGGCTCCCCTATCAATTCAAACATAAACTTTTTTTCTTTCTCTCAAGTATGCTTCAAGTATGGAGCATGGTTAATTTAGAGATTAAGTTCCAAATTAGATTATCTAATGGCATCTTAATGGATTGCTGACCCATTTCCTGTGGGATGGCAGCATGCAAGTCTGAATTGAATACAACTAATTTCTGAGGAAGCGTTCCGAAGATGTTTGCCTAGATGGAGAGGAAACATAATGTTCTGCATATCTTTCTGCATTACAGAGTTAGGCAAAACCTTTTGAGTCAGAATTGAAAAAGACCACAGAATTGAAAAAGACCATAAAACATTAGGTTTTCTTTCTACGATCACTTTTACAATCAGGATACTTCAGCATTTTTGCTCTTAAATTGTTACAATTTATACTTTTATTCCAAAATATTGCCCAAAGGGACTGGGGTGGGGCAAAGGGGGGGGAGGGGGGAGAGGGAGGAGTAGAGGGTATGAACCATTGCTTTAGCAGGTGTCTGCCAAAATGTGCTTGCCACAGCATATATGCAGGGTGGTGCTGGGGGCAGAAAACGATGCTTGTAAAGCTGAACGCCCGTACAGCTAGAGCTGAGAAGGAAATTCAGCACTCTGAGAACAGACCTCCCCTCAGCATCTCCAAGAACAAGCCAGCTGTTGTACTAAGCTCATGTGTCAAGATAGCAGACCAAAAGCAGGAAATGCTCACTTAGTGCATTTGTCTGGGTAGTGTAAATGTGATGTTAAAGTAACGGTTAATCCATAAAACTAACACAAAAGGATTGTTACAAACATGAATATAAATAACAATAGTTGGGAATAAAAACGTGTTTGGCAATAGCTGAATTAAAATGTACAGTTTGGCAATGAAAATTTACTTACAGTGTGTGAATATTCTGCAAATACTCAACATGCTCTAAAAGAGACCCATCATGCCAGCTTTTATGAGTGGTCCCACTGGAATTAATATCAATGGTCTAATGAGTGGCTGAGATTCAGGCTCAAGCTCATGTTATCAGACTTAAACACATACACACATACACATGTGCACACAATCACACACACACTTTTTCTCACTCTCATGCCTTAAGTTTGCTTCTTGCATAAGCTCTTGCTCTCTCACATAAGTGACTGAGGTTGTATTTTCCTAACTGAGCCATACAGAATTTCACAGCTTCCCCTCACCTTCTGTCTCTAGGAAAACAGTTATTATCACAGAACTGTAGTTATGAAAAAAGAAGGCTGTTGTTTGTTGTTAGGTTCTCAATGGATTCTAAGTATCTTCTTCACTGTACAGCAAAAAAAAAGTTACCTAAATGATCTTAAAGGTACTTGAGAACTTCATTATTTTGAGAGTGAGCAGCTAATACTTCATCTGACAGGCTTCTAACCCATATAACCCCCATTAAGTGTTGAATGTTGCACATAATCCTGCACATGAAAGAGGTGAAAACCTGATGTATCACAATTATGCTGATTTCATTACACACCTATTTAGAAACACACTTCTACTGTTACCATAATTCCTTATATATCAAGAGATATAAAATAATGTGTAATTTATTAATGTACCAAAGGTGAATGGGTTTTATAATGTTTATTTCTTTAAAAAAAAAAAAACCAACAAAACTCTCCTTTGTGTAAATCATTCCTACTTATTCTGTTATTTAATTGAGAAATAAGATGGGTTAATCTTATCTTCATGTACATGTTAGTGACCTAAATCTACGTCAGCTGATTATGATTAGTGATAAAAGTCTCTATGAATAGTATAGTTATTCATTGCTCAAAACCACCACCACCTCAGACATTTAGTGTTATACTCATCTATAGCACAAATTTCTTTGTGTTAACCACTAAGCCCCCCAAAATATGATTGAAAATTACATTATCATTTTTAAAGCCTAAGATCAGTATTCCCTTGAATTTATGAAACCTATGCAATTGACAGCACAGCATTACCATTCCAGGTGCTTAAGGCAGTACTCATCTTGCACTAAAGATAACCTCAATACGCATGGAGAGATGTTACACACGTGTATTGATCAAATGCTGTCACATTTTCCTCTATAGGCCCACTAACACAGATACTGTAGCCCAATGCAACTTTTTTTAGAGGTGGTGTAGGGGTGGAAATAATTAAAATGTTACCTTTGCCAGGTAATTCCCAATGTATCGTCACTGGCACTGGGGTATAAATGCCTGCCGTTTTGATTCATGGTCCAGTCACAAATTCTCAGCTGTCAATTGAAACCTAGCAGTCAGATATGGATTGAGCAGTACTACAGTTTTTAGTATTTAAATGAATACATGCAAACTAGTACTGTACATGGCAAAAGCCTTACTTTCCCAATAAGTCACTTTAAAAGATAAAACAAACAAACAAACAAAAATAACTTATTCTGAGAAATAAATGCCTACAGATTTGCTGAAGATAATGCTACTTTAATACGCTCTTCTATTAATAAAGCATAAAAGAGTAACTAGAGTTTAGCACATAACAATTAGCTATTATTAGATTACAAATTGAGCTGGAATAAAAGGAAATGTTAATATTCAATAGCAAGGTACTTTAAGAAAGGAAATTAAAATGCTGTTTTTTCTAAGCAATGCTTTACATACGGTGTATTAAGTAAAGGTCAAATATAATCGATATCTTTTAGCATGCATTTAATGAAACACAGAAGACATGCAATCTCTAGAAAGTTTGCTCAAATTAAACAAATTTTATGTCCTTATCTTGCTATTTAAGAAGTGTAAAGGTATTTTGTAATTGCAGTTTATTAATCTAGTGTTACTGAAAGTGGTACTACTTAGCAAGAGGTGATAAAATAATCTAATCTTGCTGTAGACTCAGAATAATAGCATTTAAAATACTTTATTGCATTTTAATATAATGAGGAATGTACTATATGTCAGCTGAAACAAATTCTTCCCAGATCCTCAAATCATCAGTTCTGTCTTCATGGATTGTTCAAGCAACTTTCTATAGCTCTGTTATTTAACAGCTGCCCTATAGTGTTAGCAGATTTATTGAAAAGATATACTGCTTATTTTTAAGTTTAAGGAAGTGGACTTATCTGACTCATGAAAAAACATACATTTTAACCTCTATATAGTCATGCTGTACATATATTGCTGTACGATTATATATGATACAGCACTCTGAATTGAAGATAACGTTGTTGCTGAGTTTAATTGCATTCAATGGATTTTCATTTTAGCCTTTGGATAGCACATGCTACAGCAAACAAATGACAATAAACTATTTTCACAGGAGCACAATTAATTGAAGTCTTTTCCTGAAAAATACAAATGCTGAGGACAAGACAATATTGCAATCCTGACCCTGTCTGGCTGTTAGACTCAGAAGCTTCCTGCTGTTAATGTCTGAGAAATGGAAATGTTAGTCTCTTGATGTTTTCATAGGGATTGTTTCTTGTTTGTTATCTAAAGAACTCCAAGGGACCTTCTAAAGGCCATTAAAAGCATGACTAAACCACATGAAATTAACCAGAAACGGAAGCATGCAGTCAAAAAGTTTGCTAGAGGTAACTGTGAATAATACATTAAATATATTTGAAGAAAGGGTAAGTAAATACCTAGTTTAGTCACTATACAAAATAGTACTCTAAACCTGACTTTAATATTAAAGGCATAGTAAAATATGTCAGCTCAGTTACTCAATGTACAGTAGATGTGTTTCTGCTATAATCCTCAAGAATGTCATCTTCATTGCTAATGCATATTTCAAAGCTTTATAACTTAGCTATAAAAACTCTCTTCCAGCTGAAACACAAGACTGAAAGGTTAACACATTCCCCTTTTATTCTTTCATGAAATATGGAATCTACAAATAAAAGTCCTTTGGCTGATTAGAACCACAAAAATTACTAAAATTATAAACTTAGTGTTACCAAATGAGTTTATGCACTTAGGTCTAGCTCAAAAATCTGGTAAGTACTTAAACTGCTAAAGAACCTGACCGCATTTACCATGTGGGGAAACCAGTAAGGAACTGATACATTTCATTTTAGTATATCAGCTTCTGCATTAAATCATTATATTCTTCCCACAGTCCATATAAAAGCTTTCCACATATACAGTTAATATGTTAAATTTATCATTAAGAAAATGTGCCATACTTGCAATCCTGACACCACCTTGAAGAACTGCACAATCTACACATATGTATGACAAGGCCAGGACGACATCAGCTATGCTGAAAAGCACTTTCCCAATGTTCAGAACTATTTCTTCACACTCCTCAGCAGGCTTATATAGCTGCTGCATTGTCTTTAAATTCTAACCTGCCAGGAAAATGGTTTCTTTTCCTCCCTCACACAAAATTTCATCTCCCACATCACTCCTGCATAGAGATCAGAATGTCTAAGATTTAGAAAAATACTTTCAAAAGTATCAAGAAATATCACTTTAAAAATCTGCATCCCTCACATGTTGAGTGCTTCCTGGGTAAAAGGCTGGAGAGGCTTAAAAGAGCTCTGTGAGCTGTGGCTCCATTTGATGGAAGATGTCTGTTCACAGCAGCAGTGGGAACATTGCCTTTGGAGGATGTCCTAATAGCCCACTAGGGAAAGACTGGGTGCACAGACCTAACGTGAGTACCAAGCTTTGGGAGGATGTAGGGCGTTTTAGTACAGTATTTTGAGTGCTATATGTTGTCTAGAGTCATGTTGAAAGTTTTCTGGTCAGTTGTAGTCCTCAGAGTAACTTATGCAGCCTCTAAAATCATGTCTCTGTGTTAGCTGGAGACAAGGCCGCACATTCACTCTCATCCATAGTATGCCATCTAAAAAAGTTTCTCTGCAGGACACATAAAAGGGAAAGGCAGGAAACTACTTAAAGGCTACTTGAGAAAACTTCAGTTCCTCTGTAGAGGGCCTTGAGAAATAGTTCTCAGGAGACAATTTCATAAATGCTGAAAAACATTACTAACTTTCTCAAAAACAAGCTACGAATGCAAAACAAATGACCCGATTTGGCATGTGATGTGGTGAAAATTCTTTCCTAGAAGCCTGTTGGAAAGGCCTGCTCTTCAGCCCCACAGCTTTATTTTCAGCAAAGCAAGCCACATGAACACCACTTCAGTAACACCTTCCATCCATCTAACAAAGCCCACTGTAACTGCTTCTCCAGGGAGGCAGTGCAACTCCTTCACCCACCTCAGCTGCATCATGGGACTGGGGCCACAGCCCGGGCAGAAGCAGAGCTGTAGGCCTAACTCTTCCACCTGTCTTAAAGATGTTCACCTCCCTGTTCCTGCCCTGCCCTCTGTAAAATGACAGGGAATTGATTGTGTTTTGCACTTTCCAGTGCTGTGAGACACACTAATGTGAAGCTCTACCCAAGAGCTAAATTTCACTGTATCTGCCTGTTCAGTTTAAACCGGGCACCTAGCAAGCAAAACCATGCAGCAGAGTTTTAAGTATTCAAATCCTGCGTACATTAGAAATCCACAGTGAAGAGCTCGATTTTAATCATAGCCTGAATAATTTTTATGGCTTAATATTTACGCACGGTTTATATTCTCCTATTTAGAGAGTTGCTGCTGAAGGCTAACATTCATTTCAAGCTTCTGTGATGGCTAGAGAAAGCAGCCATAGCCATCACAGAAGCAAATACATATTTTGGAAAGTGTGATAGGAGACTGCGCTATAGCTTCTGTTAGTTGAGAAAAGTCCATAAAACTTAATATTTGCATATTGCCATTGTTTTGACTGAAACTTCCTTTAAATGTGTTTCCTTTCCAGCAAGCATATGTGAAAGGTGACCTCTTATCCATTTACATACCTCCCTGGTGGTCATGTGACCCAGTTTTACGTCAAACTGTCAGTTATGATAAGGGACACAATAAGAACAGCCTAACTGTTGATAACCTGTTTCCTGGCTTTATTGAGAAGTTCTGTTTAAGAGTCCACTTATGTTCTTCTTTCAGCCTTCCGATGAAAGCAAAAGCAACATCCACCCAAAACGTTTTACAAACAGAGACTCTGTGTTCAGTGGACATTACAGTTTACAATTTACATGGTGAACAGTATGAAGAGAACTCCATTTTGAACTGTGTGATTCAGTAACTAAAGGATGCATCTGGTAAGAACAACTTCCTACCAAAGAGGCAGGGCAGCCTGGTGGGTAGGAAATAAAAAGCTATCTACAGTTCTCTGATTTTTCATTTTAGAAACCTTAAGTGTTTTTTATCATTATGTACATGGCAAATGTCTTACTCATAAACATCCAAGCTGTGTGAAAATCATGCACACCACACACCACACCCAGAAATTCAAAGCTCTAGTGAAACCCATGCCGCTGGATTAATCTGTGCAAAAACTGGAAGAGTTCAGTAGCTCCTCAGTAACTCAGACAGCATTAGTTAACACAGTTTACTGTAACAGAACAGAAAATTCTAGAGGTCATTGTCTTTACAGACCTCAATAGCTATCTATTTATACTTTCTGATTAAAAATAAAATCACCCATAAAGTTAAACAAACATCCAAGAAACAAAACCTGTCAGTTGTCTCCTTAATTCCAATAGAAATCTGTGAAACTGTTCATCTGTATTTGCAATAAATACTAATACCTATCTTTCTGTTCATCTATCTTTTTATACTGTTTACACAGGTAAAGTGCATGACTAGTATTTCTAGCAAAATTCTAGCTTCAGAAACACAAACAACATTAACCTGTGTCTAAAACATAATAAATTCACTGAGAACAGTAACACAAGGAGGCTAAAGAAATGCCATCACATAGCCATGAGAATTCTGCTCCTTAAAACATCGTTACTGAGCTAATGATGCCTCCATTAATATTATTTAGCCAAAAGAATGGAGGCACAGTCACAATCTGGCAAGGGACTGTGTCCCCTTGCAGAAGATTCAATTCCACTGTGTTTCCTCAGTTTGCTGCTTCCTCCTCTAACCTAGACTTAGAAACCACAAAGATTCAGTAGATGCAAATTAGAGAAAGAAGGGGGGGGGAGAGAGAGAAATGCTCCTATATAATTGTGAAGATTATCCAACCTTTCTTTTATGTGCAATTCATTTAAGATGTTTCTCAGCACATATGATGAGCACTGAATAATAGATCTAACTTCATAATAGAACCCCAGCAGGCAATAATAGTAATCTTAAACTGTCTCACAAAGGTACTAGCTCTTACCACCTTCCTTGCCCTTTCCAGTGGTGCCCCCCTGCAGTTATATTATCAATACTTAACAACTCTCATAAGCTAATGCTGAATAAAGAAAAGAAAAGCAAGTGGTCATTAACATTTTGTAATAACAGACAGGGGAGGGGGTAGGAATGACATGAGTTTTTAACAGAATTATAAGATACAAGTAACTTTCTAGATGCCACTGAACAAGAGACATATTTTGTAACTGTTATGTCACAGTATGGATATACCTGGCATTTCGAGGCAGGTAACAGGGACCAAGACCCAACAGCAACTGCAGCAAAAAGTGGACTGCATAGTTACAATTCCTCATTACAACATTGTCATTCTAACAATCAAAGTAGCATGCCACGTTGTGACAGCATATTTTTCACAGTATCCAGGTCCATAAAAGAAAATAAACTGCTCCCATTGGTGTTATTATGCACCATTTTTCAAGGTCATATTCAGTGCTTCCCATCTAAATCTGAGTATTCCACGTAGGTTGAGCTATAAATTGTTTACTGGAAGTTCTAGCAAACTATCACTTTGTCAAAAGACTCTATGCAAATGCCTGTTGCAAAATATATGTGTAACTTTAAAATTTATTGTGGTTACTGCAATTTAAACAGGCTACATAATGGTTCTTTTTAACAACAATGAAAAGTACTCAACGGTACATGCCAATATTTCTCATAACCAGAGAGAATAAATCTTCATAAAGACTCCTCCAATGAAGTAAAAAAAGGTACCGGTGACAATATTTATTCTTGAGGGGTCAATGTGCATTACAGGGTATGGTGAATGTTTAAAAGACCTCTCTGGAACTAAAACCATTGGCTTTCTAAATTAGAATTGCTTTCCAACAGTACAAAATGATTGATTACCTTTATTTCATGTACCCTCTGATTTTTCTTTTCATTCATCATGGGCTGCTTTAACCAAATGCATTTAAAATCTGCCACAAGAAGAGTGGTCTCTTTTAAATTGTTGTAAAGTAATGAAAGGACATAGTAAATCAATCTCATTTCTGCCTTACCAAAGGATAACCTTTGCTCTACAAAAAATTGTTTAGACAATCTCAGTGCTCTACCATACTCTCTGGGTAATAAACATATATGGCACGGTCATCTCACAGATGCCTTTAAAATCTAAGTGAGTGAAGGTAACTAATTAATTAGAAACTTATATATACACACATATATTGATATTTGCTTAATATGAAAAAGCTTTGTTGTTAAAGTTTTCTATTCTTTCAAATGGCTTCAGCAGTACATACTATTCACTGATTTTGTATGTATTTATATTTGTAAGCATCCACACATGTGCCCCGCCCTTAAAGACACTCAGGTAAACATACACATATATCCATTGCATAAGAACAGAAGAGAATTCACAGCAAAGACAAAAACATGACACAGTTTTTGAATTTACTATGTAGCTCACTGATCACCAGTTGGTGCTCTTAATTAATGTCCAGGAAGCAATATACTTTAGAAGGGAGAACACTGGTTTCACACAGTGGCATTGAAGAATTTTTCTGTTTATGAAGTGCATGTGAGACCACCTAATTTACTTTCCCCTTCCCCCTGAGCCATCTGGCCACATGTTTTACCATGAAAGGGCCTATTAGACATAGAGATGTAAACACCACAGACTGTGATGACCTTTGACATCCTTCTCACTCTTATGTTCTTATAACACTGCTGAAATCTCCAAATTTATACTCATCTACACAAACGCAAAAATACACAAAAGATGCATGAAATGAGCAGTATACATTTTACATGCCCATAAACTTAGCCAAGAGAAAATTAAGTGCGCTGCCGCTGCCTTCTGGCAGGTGACAAGAAGTCTATAAGTCTTTCAATGAACTTGGAAGAAGGTGAATTGGGCTTAAGCAGTAACAAATTTGCAGAAAAAAATGTGTCTAAAAACTTTTAGTGAAAAAATAATTGCACATGCCCAACTTGTTGACTGGATGTCAGAGGCTTTTCAAAGGACACTATGTAAAACTTCACATGAAATCCAGAATCACATCCAGTGTATTTAAAAAGAGACACGCGTGTGTTTTAAAATGCAATAAATATACAGTGTATCTTTGTAAAAGAACCATGTTATAGTAACTATAACACATTTCATAATAGAACAATCTTTGAGAGGTTTTAAAAAAAAAGCAATACACTAGGAAATTCACTGAAAAATAAATGGTTGGTGAACCCACTAATTGTCATTTGGTATTTCCATAAAAGTGTACAGATGTTTCCAGTTAGGTCTTGCTGGTTAAAAAAAGTTGGCAAAGCATCAACTATCTTGAATAAATGATCATCTTTATGATTTTCTCTGAACTCTGCATGTGGTGACCTTTAAAACGAACACACTGCCACCTTGCCCTGGGAGTGGGTAGAGGTAGAGAGTTCCAGATGAAGCATGCTTCAGTTGCATCTCAGCAAACACAAAACAGGGAGGTTTTACTGAAAAATGAGACAGTCATGTGTACCAACTGTTAACAGGAACTCAAGCCTGAGAAGAAAATATAGTATAATAAATACCAAGGACTATTTAACAGCCCTTTTTGTTACAGCCACATTCAGCTTTTTTCCTTATAGCATTTTACATGCTATTGATTTCAAAGTCCTCGAGTGTTAAGATACAGGAGCAACAGAAACACACATCATAAAATATGTTCTAAAAGGTTTGCTTTTATTCCTCTTACCAGTAATGTAGCATTTCTGTATAGGCATGGCCTTGCTACTGACTCCAGCTAATTTGTTTGTAAGTCATCATTAATCTCGGCTGTATATTTTCACAGTTTGGGTAAACACTTCATTTGCATTAAATTTACAGCATTAATGAGATGTGAAATTTAAAATGCTACTTGAAACATAAATGATGTAAGAAACCAGAACAAGAATGTGGTTTTATCATGTTTGAAATCAGCAGACCAATTTAAACCTATTAAACTATAAATGATTGCATTGAGAATTTTGTTTTGTAACTCAGCTTCTAGAACTAAAATGAAGAAATGTAGGCTTACACATCTAGGGGAAAAATATAGTTTTAAAATAATAAGTTGGACTTTTAGCTATGGAAGTTTTGCGTATTTTTTTAAACTCATTTTGAAATGAATAGTTGCTGCTTACACATTCCATTCTGTTTCCTAAATCCTATTAAAGAATATGCATAACGAGGTCTTGAAAAATAAAATACTTGAAAGAAGTATGATTAGAAGTTTCTTAAGATGACACAAATGTAAGAAATCATATGCTAAATTGATGTTTCTCAAAGGGTTCAGTTGTTTTGAATACACTTCACCTTCAGATGACAAATACTGAAACCCTTAGAATCCCAGTCTAATCCAAGATAACAGTGGCAGCATGTAGGAAGGTAATATTGCAAAACTTCTCTATATCATTACACCTATGTGAAACTTGCCCACCTGTTGCTGGTGTAGGAAGGATGGGTCTCTTGGGCCTAGTCCCACATATCGATTGGCTTGGGATGTGCCTGAGGCTGTGTAGGCTGATTAAGGAAGAACAAAACAGATTGATAAAAATGCCAACCTATCATAACTAATACCCTATGAAGGTACAGTACAAATATGAGTGATCCAGAGTTATGATTTTGCAATACATAGGATGTGTCTGTGGTATTACTTTATCTAAAATTTAATAGAATGAAGAAGAAAAAATGGACCAAATTGGGAAAGCCATGTAAAGATTCCTATAAACTTCAATGGAAACTGCACATGTAAATCATAATGATGTCTCTTGTTAAATAAAAGTTGCTCTGGTTTGTGGTTTTATTTTAAAGCAATTGAGTAAGATATGTATTTGAAGGAATCACAAGCCTGATTCTCATTTCCATTACACCAATCCAAGGCACCAGTGAAATCACTGAGATTATAATGTTGAGAGAAAATATTAGTGCTCAATTATTATTCTTACAGCTCTGAATCACAAAATTGTAGAAGAACAATAATTGGACGCAAAAGTTCATTTTACTTACGTGGCATAAAATGTGTCTTTACAGGCCTTTGGAAACAGGCTGTAACCAAATTAGCATTTTTATCAGAAGGGAGCTGATTTTTACTGTGCAATATAATATTCAATATTCGACTCCCCTATGCATCAGGAAACAGCATTTTCCCATGGGGACAATTTCAGAAAGTCTCTCACTGTCTGATACAGAAGATTGAAGAAACGCGTTTCTGAGAAGAAAAGCAATTGTAGGTGATGCTAGGATTAGTTCCAGGATATGGATCCTTTACCTATAGGTCACACTTCTATCTGGTCTCTCTCAATAATTTCTAAAAGCCATTACCTTCTCATGGCTTTGGTGGTACTTATGAAGCAAGGTAGGTGGCCTGACTACACTTCCCAGTGTGGAGATACCCACACTGCAACTTGCAGCATCACAACCTGGAAACCTGCTAGTAGACAAAGCAAAACTACTAAAACTGAAAAGCCATACACACACCAGTGAGGTACTGGATGGGAGTACTGAATTGGCCTGTTAGTTTTAAAGTCACAAAGCAAATAAAAGCAAATGAAATCAATTAAATTTTAAAAAATAAAAAAAAGAAAGTTTTACACAGTAAACAGACTTTACTGAAAAACTGTCATAAAAATTAATCAGTTATTAGAACAAAATTATGGTGGAGGCTACAGGGTTCCTCAAATAATATCAATGCCTGCTATTCTTTCTCATTCAAAACAATTTTGCTATTGCACTTCAGAATGAAAAGCAGTGCTAATTAGTTACTATTTTGTTTTTATCAGACTGATAATAATGATAACTTGTTGGCCAAGCATATGCTTTAGATATCTCTCTCTATATATATATCTTGAAGCAATCAATCAGTTATTGCAAACAGAAGTAGAACTAGGCCGTAAAGTATATTTAGTCTTGATTTTTCCATTAAGTTAACATTAGCACTCTGTATGGCAGGCCTATTCGGACTGATAATACAGTTTATATGTACCCATCTATAATTTATCAGTCGGACATGATCCCTCATTATTTGCTGTTTTCTTCATCAAACAGATACATTCCTTCATTTTTTTGCTCTTACAGTTACCAATCTAGTTTCAAAAGGCTTTGCCAAGCAGATAAGACTACAGCAGTGCTCTGAAAACCATAACACTGAACATTCACCATTTATACACTACCTCATTTTCAGAACTGGCACATTCCAATAAAATTTGTATATCGAGGAGTTTTCTTTTTTATTTACGCTCTGTAGTAATGGATGTTGGACCTTTAGCCAAGTAGTTATTTGCACACTCCTGTGGAAGCATGGGGATGCCTTATTTCAAACATCTAAGCAGAGATGTTCTCAGGTTCATGGGAAATCAGGTACCCAAGTTCCAAGAAACTGGGTGCCAACTTCATTTGAAAATATAGTTCAATTTTTTTCCCATAGTAGTATGGCAATGAACAGATTAGGTATGCTTTCCTGTAACAATTAATAAGATGGTCAGATTACCAGAAGATATCCCAAAGCAGTTCTGACATTGTATTTGTTCTTTTTGACATTTGTACTGGAAATCCCAACCTCATTTGAGACAGCTATTTAGGCCAGGGACAATCACATCAAACAGGAAGCAGAATGAAACCATGAAGCTATACATTAACTCAGTTTTCTCAGGTTTTTGTTCTGGACCAAAAATCTAGAGTTATAGCTTCCTGTTTGCTGCTAAAAATTCTTAAAAGGCATAAGAACTGTACCACAGACCACTAGGGAGGATATACATATACTCTACCACCTTCTACCAGAACCTCTGATGTACTGAAAGAACAGCTAAAATGCTTCCATGAATCTATTTGCATAATTATTTGTTTATACTTAAACAATAGTTTGTCCAAAAGTTACTACTATCCTTTTATAATAAAGGCATAACTAATTCTCTTCCTTTACATCTCAGCCACTCCTATGCATTTGAGTCTATCTCTGCTTCATATTCTAATGAAAAGACTTAAGTATTAGAATGCTTAAGAAACATATAATTTATGGTCTCCATTAACAACAGACCAAAATTTAGGGACTGATTCACAGCTCAAGTACTAAACAGACCTAAAGCAAGTAATTTTAATGTAATGGACCCTAAAGAGTTTAGTATCTTCAAAGATTGGCAAGTTTCCTTCCAAAGTATATGTTTGTAAGTGGTTCCTAGAAATCTTCACCACCCTGATAAGTATGGATAACACTGGCCATCTCAAACTCAAATAAAAGTTCAATGACACAGAACACAAATGCAGAAGGCAGTTAAAAAGCAACACTTCGCATCAGTGAGCACTAGTTTTTTGAAGAAATTACCCTATACATATTAACACCTGTGCTCTTATTTCCAAAACTGCAATTCCATTGAAGATGACAGGATAAAAATATGGCCCTTGAGTAGTAATTAAGAGCTTTAAATGTGAAAGTTGGGAGGAAGGGATGGGATCTGCCATCCATTGTTGCAATGACAAGGAATTAAAAGTTTCTTTTGCCACATCAGTTGTTTTTTTGCTAAAAATGACACAACCTGTATCAAGATGCAAATGTCATAGCTCGGATCCAGTAAGTGTTGTAACAAGGCTTGATTTCTGTAGGAAAGCTCATTGAGGAGCAAATCATCCAATCTCTGTTTGGAATTCTGTCTGCAGGTCACTGTAAAACCTTGCTGTCTGGGTGTGCTTCTCAATGTCTTAACAATGTCCACCTTAGATGAACAGCCACGTTTTCTTTCTCTTGAATAGTGGGGAAATATGCAGGCTTTTCCCTTTCATTCTGATTGTCATGTCACAAACTTTGGTTCATGTAACATGATGGTTGAAATTTGGGGAGGAAAAGCTTGCAGTCATACCATGTTCGCTCTCCATGTAAAATGATGAGCATCCATTTGGTCAAATAGTAGGAAAAGGCGCCTTTTTCTGGCCTCAATTTGAAATGATATCGAATCTTCGATGGACATATTTTGTTTCCTAAAGAAATACTTACTGGTTGCTGTAGGTGAAGATGCCTCACCTTCAGTGGATGTAGTGATGGGTTTAGTATCTGTCATGGTCAGGGTCACAGGTCGCACCGCACTGTGATGGGGAGAGGGTGCCAAAACTGGAGTAAAATGGCCAGGCACTTTCCCTACTACTTGACCACTGCTGTTAGGCTACAAAACAAAATCAGAAGAATGCCTTGTGAAATATACACATTGCATTTAAGGAACCTACCCACCTATCTTAGGGTTTTCCAGAATGCCCATCACTATAATACCTGCATGCTGGAATGCACCATTCTAAAATAGCTACGAATTTCTATGTGGTATTTTCAGCAGGCAGATCCCTCCTCAGATAGGTAGTAGCACATGCTTTTAAATAGCAGTACTTTTTGGTAAACTTTCTTTCTTTCTGGATGCAGCATGCATCAGATCATTTCAAAATATATTTGCTGTTTATGCAGTGGCTGTGAAGTGAACCACAGTAAATCCCACGATAGTAGGATTAAACTGACCAGGCACAGGCCTTAATGTATGAAGTATTAAGAGCAAATGAATGATGCAAAACTTCTGTTTTCACATGCCATACCACTCTGGCTTGGAGCATAACCAAGCCTTGACCACAGTTGTCCGCAGAGATTATACATACTGAAAGGCTAACTAATAATTCACGTTTAGGACTGGGGATGAGGGTTAGGATACAATTCACTATAATGCATATGTCACAACATCTGGCCAAAAGCCACCTGCCTAAAACACAGTATTTAATAATGGGAACTCTTCAAGGCAAGAGCGTTACAAAGACAACTCTTTCGTAAAAACAAGAAGCAATCTTCATATGACCTGATGCTACAGGTCATCATTCTACCTTCTGAATATAGGCATATCTGAATTTGTCAATGTTGACAAGTAAATATATATGTTTATCCAATGCTTAAACATGCTTTAGACATTCTGCATGACTGTAAATACTCCAACAATAATTAACTTGTAGTAAAAATTAGCAAGCAGTAAAATTTTTTTTCAACTGTGGCTGGTAACTTTTGTCTTAAACTGCTTGTGTGTTCTGTGACTCGTAGGTACTTTAAAGTACAGCCCTGAAAAGTAAAAAATACCGGTAATCCTATTATCAGAAGGTTCTTGTCAAATTTGAGGTAACTCAGACTAAAGAAATGGAATGATAAAGGGCGTTATTCAAACGATACAAGGAAAGGTTAAAAGAGGTAAGCATGTCTATGGTAATGAACCAACGACTGGTCCAAGACAATTACTGCAGGTATGTGCGGAATATAAACACACAGAAGAGGAAGGAATTATCTGGAAAGTACAGGAAGTATGAATTCCAGGTAATGGAACAAAATTGAGAAGGAGGAAATTTAAAATTAATAGCAGGAGAAACTTCCTGGCAGCATGATCTACTAGACTTTTCAAATGCCCCCACGGGAGAGTCTTGTTCTTTAGGACATCTAAAACTAAGCTAGAAGAAAACACTAGAAAACGTAAGTGCAAATGGAGACCAATTTTATATTATAGGTACATTGAGCAGTTAGCAGACTACTTCCCTCACTAAAACCACAAGCATTTCAACAAAAAATAGTAAAAATGTACACTAATGAGAAGTGGCTCACAAAATAGTCCACTAAATGAAGAAAAGTCACCCCCTAAACACAACTATATGTTTCACTAGGTGGGAGCAGGGCTAGGGAGAGGAGAGGCACAGAATTCCCCAAGATCTTGCAAATACAGGAACTGAATGTTATTTACCACTTTTTCATTTACGTCCCTAGCTGTATAAACTGAGAAGTTAATACTAGGCATTTAGTAATGGGAATAAGGTCAGCTGTCAAAGTAGCTTCAAAATAAGAAAGCAGCATGGATTCAAAGGAATGACAATACATTTGCAAATATCATGACTTCCCCAACTGGCATGCTGCATTAAGTTTTATAAACTAGCTAAAACTTCACTGTTTGATAGAGCTCCCTTATTATGTGTACTTGAAATGAAAACTATGTCACAGAATATATACACAACGATTTCTAGACAATAATGTGGCCTAAGAGTTTATTGAGCATCTGCTTGCATGCTTACATGACCAATGAATGGGTCATAAGCAGGAGACTCAGTAATTACAGAGGTCTTTCCTTAAGAATATAAATTACATCTCTGTACTACAGCAAACACTCATATAAAGTACGTGACAGTAAGTCCACTTTCTTTGAGATCTATTTTAGCAGTGGTTTAGGGAATTTTATTTTGTGGGATCTATTTTAATGACCTGCAATCCTCTAAAACCAGGTATCTTGGCAATCAAAAATCTGACCTCACCTGCATTAGAACAAAATGAAAATTTTAGCTAACATAAATTCAGGAAATCTCTAAGAAATACATGAAGTAAATTTCCTATAAAAATAAGCCAAGATACTTTAAAACTTAGAGGCCTTTTAAAAATTTTATTGCACATTGTCACATTTCAAGTATCTTCTGACTGCGCTTTATGATTTATTTTGCTTTTATTTTTGGATTATCTAACACCTGTTTTTTTCCTTTCTCAAATACTTTAACTCTGTTTTCACATTTGTAATATGACATTTGATTTGTAATTTTGTAGCAACATCAAAACTGTATATTGCAATAACTGTTTGGGTGTTATTGTTTGGCAAACAAGACAACACAAGAAGGGATAAGTACATACAAGACAGAGCTTGGTGCACCATGACTAAGAACCTAACTTCTACCCCATACTAAAAGTTTCCTGTATTTAAATTTTTAACTAATCTCAGTTGAAGGTGAGCACATTCCTACCAGGATTTCTACATACACGATTCTTTTTCCACAATTCTAGCTGTCTTTCAGCAAAGATTGAAAACTTCTGGTCAGGAATAGACTTCTGGAGTTGTCAATTTGTAATCTTATTGAAAACTGGCTGCTAGAAATAACTTCTGTGGCCTCTTCTCATTTTTAACTTTTTCAGTTATATCAGAAGATATTTTAGCATGGAAACTACATATCTTTTTTGAGAGCATCCACTTGAATTACAATTGCAAATATTTATAGCACATCATTTAACACAAATTAATTTTATCCTTATTTAAAACAAGTTTTAGGTTCTAGTTCCAGTTTTCCCAGAAGAGATTCTTAATGACAAATGCATTACAGGTGAAAAATCAACTGTTACCATCAACTAGGGCATCAATATGTCTGTGTGATGCATTCCCAGGGAGATGATGCCTGAGGCATAAACTTCAAGCAAATTGCATGGAGGCAGCTGTGTTAGATAAACAAGCTGTGCATTTGAAAATAGGAGAGGGAAAGAAGCAAACACAATGAAGGTCTGGCAAATTTAGCCCAATTTATGCAGGTGTATATTTTTCTATTGTTGGCTTGGAAGCTAATTTGATTTTCAGATCTGTATTACATTTTTTAGCTTTTTAATTCACACCATCTTGAATTGTCACAAATTAATCCATTCATGTGTTTAAAGCCACAGATGAGTTGTATTATCTGTCATAACTGTAGCGTAACCTAAGAGTGTCAGACTGTTAATATCTGTTTGTGTGCACTATGCACACTTTCAGTTAATCGTCAGATCTGAAGTCTGAACAGAAAAGTATAACAGATATATATATATATGTACTGTCTTAAAATCTGGATTCACTGTACTCATTTTTCCTGCTGGGATTTTATTACTATTACTTGTAATACTAACATTTTACCAATATTTACTAATATTTACTGTTTATTTTACTAATATTTTACTAATATTTACTGTTTACTAATACTGCTTGTAATTAGTGATCAATCACATCCTCTCAGACTTCTGTTCATATATTTGCCAAATAGCAGCACATTTACACCTCAGGTCTTTAGTTACATTATAGGAGATTGATTTTTCATACAGCTCACTACATCCAGTATTAACAAAATCTTTCTGTTGTCACATTGAAATGGCAGCACTAACATCTACAGATGAGATATCCAAGCATAACAGAAATTGGACATGCATATTAAACACCTAACATAAACTATTAAGTTGCTTAAATGATTAAAGAGGTTCAAATTTACAAAGTATCTCTTTTTTTTTTACAAAATATTTTTAATTATCATTCCAAATTCTAAATAAAATAATTCAAATTTTCCTTGGCTCTCAAATACAAAGCCTCTTCAAAAAATAAGCAACAAGGGTGGAAATCATCTTAATCCTGTGCATGTTCTAGGTAGAGCTACGCAGGATACTGTGTTAGGTGCTTCAGAAAGAAGTTTCAGGGCTTAGTAAGAATTTAATTATTCCAGCTAACCACTAAACTCAGAGAATAATATATTTGCATCTCAAAACAAGGGTTTTTCAATAGGAAATCTGTTTCCCAAGGAGGCTCCTGTATTACAGCCAGGTGATCAGTCACTGAGTGTAGTTTAGTTAAAATGGACTCAGTGTGCTTGGAAATACTCTGTCACCTATTTCTTCTAAACAGTTACAGTCCCTTGTAATGGCAAAGTTCAGGTACCATGGTGAAAAACATCACTACAAAAACCTATGGCAGTGTTGTTTGGTAACCATTGATAGAATTAATTTTGTTGATGAAGCTGTAGAAGATACAGTTCTGCAGTTTGGGCCCCTGCTCACACACCAAATACCTTGTTTTAACAGTTGTCTACTAGCCATATCAATGAACCTGGAGATCGCAGCTGATAAATTTCATCATTGAGTCCATGGCACTGTGCTTTGTTACACCCACAGAAGGTGATGGATGTTTCAGAAAATCTACAAGTAAAAGAAACTGGAAAGACACATCCTCAAGTTATTACCTACCTGCGTAAGAGAACACAGTGTCTTTGAGACTGCTAAGCATAAAAGAATGGCATTACTACTACCAGTGAGACTGTAGAAGGTACTGTACAGCAGTTCCTCTGTTTGAACCTGGTGAGTTCCATAAAACATTTGTTTAAAAAGAAGCAAAGCTATGCAATTTCTTTTTTGCTATTGAACCGTATGGTAGCAACAGAAAAGCTTTTCCATAGTGTCACTTATCACTTTTCATAAAGACGAATCTCATTAGTTTCCATACACTTGCAACTGAGTAACTCATTGCTACAGCACACCTTACACAGACCTCACTGGGAGATGCCACACAAGAGCTTCAGGGGGTGTGACACGCAGCTACCTGTCTATATGCAGAATTAGCTTCAGAAGGAACATGTTGTTGCCAGTCCTTGGCTGACAACATCACTTCTGTACTTCTTTCTGTGAGAAATCAAAGTGTTGACTTTAACCTATAAAGCTCTCAGTCTCACCCATTTGGGAAACCATTTTTCTCTTGATGTAATGCTGCTGGAACTTAGAGCAACTGCAGAGCTCCAGCAACCCATGCTCAGATATCATAAGACATCCTAGGCAAAGAGCCCTGCATCCTGAATCACAATTTTACCTGTGAGCTCACAAAATATTTATTATTTGTCAGCAGGTAGAGCACAAGAAAATACCCAGCTTTCCTTGTGTATCTGCCTTAACAACAGGGTAAATGCACGTTACGCAAGGACAGAAAAGGAAATCTTTTTGTAGATAAATTTTCAGAAGGTATCTTTGAGTTAAATGGTATTTTGTGCACTTACGTATTGGAGACTTACATATTGGAGACTTACAAATGGAGACTTATAACTGTGCATTTAATAAACTAAAATAAGCTAACTAGATAAAAAAGGAATCATTTTTAACTGTATTTAAGTCTTCAGATGTCTTGTCAGTAAATAGAATTAAGCCAGTGTTCTCTCCCTACCTCCCAATTACTATTAAACCAGCACATTGCCATATTTAATCTTCAATAATTTCTTAACTTTGCAAGGAAAGATTTGCCCAAGAAGCTGAAATTATTAAATGTCAACAAAGAAAGAAGATAGCTATGCCAAAGGAACCACACGCATATATATCACTTGTGGTGGCTTATTCTGCTAGTATTCTCCCAGGAAACAGCAGGAAACCCTTTGACCAGCCCAAAGAGACTCAGAAGATTCCCTCCTTGTTGCCAAATGACTGCAGTTACTGTACTGAAGAATGACAAAGCATCTGCCTCATTTTCTTAAAGAGTGTGCTTATCTTTCATTGAACAAAAATCTGAATGGCCCAATCAATTATGAAAGAAAAATAAGTGGCCTCACCAGCTTCCAGAAGCAGCTCTTCTCAAGCCGTTCAGATATTTCTGTCTTCAGACAAAGATAAAACCATTAAAAAAATAAATTGGCCAATAGCTCACATTAGAACAAAGTTTTAAGAGCTCCAGGAATCTTAGTCAATGTGTGGGCAGTGGTTCACTTGGACTGTAGTATCTAACAAGTGTAATCAGGAGAGAAACTTTTTACAAGGACATGTAGTAACAAGACAAGGGGTAATGGCTTTAAACTGAAACAGGGTAGATTTGCATTCGATATTAGGAAGAAATTCTTCATTGTGAGGGTAGTGAGGCACTGGAACAGGTTTACCAGAGAAGTTGTGGCTGCCCCTTCCCTGGCAGGATGGGGCCAGGATGGGGCCAGGATGGGGCTTTGAGCATCCTGGTCTAGTGGAAGGTGTCCCTGCCCATGGCAGTGGGGAGACAGAGCTGATTCCAGTTGTAACCATTCTAAGATTCCATGAGTAACAGCTATCAGTCAAACTGTGGAGACCAGCACGCTATCATAATACAGGTACATACTCACACACGCAGTCACATCCAGTCACACACATGCCTCGCTAAGAAGAAAAGTGTTCAAGTGTAATAAAAAGGACTCAGCAGAATTACCTAAATCATGGAAGGTACAGCGGTTTTGAAAACCTTGGGACCTTTTCAGACCACTATGTGAAGCAAGTCCAGCTCTGTATCTACCAAGGTCCACTTCTGTTCAGTACATCTGTTTACTTATTATCCAGATTGATGCATGAACAGACAACCATGACTCTCTTTTGTTTAAGATCATCCATTGTTGGATCATTTTTCACTGCAGCCAAAGGGCCTGTTTGAACTTCCTGACTGTTCATCACACATAATTTGGAGTATTTAACATTATGTCAAGAAAATTGCCCACTGCTTCCCACTGTGTAAACCTATGGGAGCTCTATATCTTTAAACTAATTTTACTTAAAGTATTCCATTGAATACCATGACTGTTTCAGTATAATCAGTGCAGCAGTAATGTAATTAATCTCAGAATTGCTGCGGGGAGTACACGGCATCTCAGTTGCTTGTCGTAACAATCTAAATTAGCGTATTACCAAAAGATGCTGGGGAACAGTTCATTTTAGGTAAATGCTGTCAGGGTATACATCCTTTCTATTTCTAAAGCTGAAATTAAAACTATCATCATAGCTCCCCTTTTGAAATCCAAATGAGTATGTTTTGAGGTGGGGAAAGTATAATTAAATTTCATGTGGTATTCCTACAGATGCAGTTTTGCATTTTATAATAATTAAATTTGTTTGAATAAAAATTCATTTTTATTTAGAAAAGAAAAACCGGTTTGGCTCAAAGCATGCTATTGTAGCAGAACAATTCCCTTTTGTCACTGAAACTTCACAGACGGCTGCTTCTTTTCTCTTAAGCAAAAAATTATTCTTCCTGGTTTCCTTTTTGTACACCCATCCTTTTAATTGTTCTAGTTAGAGATCTTTTGACCGAGCATGCAACTCCTCTAAGGTACAGCATATCTCATAGGTAAACTTTAAAGAGTTAAATTTAAAAGAGATTCCAGTAATAATAGTGATTGATGATTATGATTTTATGATTCTATAATAAATTGCAGACAATAGCTGATGCAGATGCCTGGGATCCCATACTTAATGTTTTTTAACCCCATCTCCTCTTCTCAGGAACTAAATCAAACATCAAATGAAATGAAAAACACTGCCCTAATATAAAGGTTATGAAAGGTGATGAAAGTAGGAAATTGAGGCCAGTTAAGCCTGTTATTCCCCATGGTGCCACAACACAAATATAGGAAGTGTTTTCAGTTTGCTGAAAAAAAAATCAGTGAAGTAAAATTTTATCTTTTCAGGGCTAAAGATTAATATTTCAACTGCAGATAAGGGAAGAGAGTAAGACTCTTGGTAGGCAGAGTTGAAAGCATTTCTCCTGCTCAACAAATATACTCCCCAATCTTAAAATCACAAGACTGCACATTTGTCAACAGCCTGAAAGAGAGTCAGATACTTCAATTAGATGTTGTATTTTTTCAGTGATGATCCAAGGCAGAACACAGAACAATCCAGACAGATTATCACCTAATCTGCTCTTTTAATATATATAAGAAATCAAAATCTAAGTAAAACAAGCACTGAATAATTAAAGAAATGCATAACAGTAAGGGCCTGATTTTAATTTGCATAATTTTTCCCTTAATAGTGCCTAATTAAGACATCAGCTTAAAAAAAAAAAAAAATCCAACAGAACTCTAAGATTTTCCGCACTGAATTACCGTTAAGGACTTTTAATGGATGTCTTAATTAGACTTTGTTATTCATGGAAATTTTACACAAATTAAAATCAGGTCCTGCATGCAACATTCCCAGCTGAGTCTCAGCAAAAATGCTATATGGGACTGAAAGACTTTTAATCCATGCACAGATAGCAATTTGTATTCTAAAGCTAACATACTCCATTTTCACTTTTTGGTTTAATTTGCATTAATATTACAACCAACAAAAAACACACAGTTGGGATTTCTCCCTTCAAAGTAAATTTTGATTTTATGAACATGCCTTTTTTTTTTTTTTTTTTAGTATGTAAATAGTCATGTAGCTGGACAAGAGCAATGGCCCATGGGGACATTAACCACAGTGACTTTCTGGACATCCCAGAGGAGCTGTACCTGTTATTCAACATAGAAAGTTTGATTCAGTCTCAAGTTTTATTGCTGTTTTGCCCAAAACACATGCTGAAAGGACAGTCATCATTGGTGAAAAACAAAATAAATGAAAGCACAAAACAAAATACTGTCACATTAACCCTATGTCTTACCCCTGATAAGGCACTCCTTCCAAAGGAAGATAACTCTTCAGAATGCGACAACCTGACCATTTCAAAAAACATACTAAAGCACAAGTTACAGGGATCCACAAAAGCCTTTTGGACAAGGCATCAAAAATAAATAACAGCCTAAACAGCAAAGATTACATCTGGAAATATTCCAAGTATTGACAGACCAAGTCTTAACAGCAGTTTATCCTACAGTGTGGATCACAGGCTAATGCTATGTGCTAATGCTGTCATGGAAAGCAGTTTTACAGACAGTCCTTCACAAGCTACTTTGCTCATGAAAACCATGTTAATTTCCCATATAAGACACAAGTCTGGATCAATGTAGCAGCCCCTTACTGCATGTTCTTTACAAAAGCAAGTAAAAACAATTTTGTGGGTCTGTGCTGTACAGTAATGTCTTCGGATCTGTGCAAAGAGATGTCAGGTGCCTACAAAACAGGGCAAGCATTACCTTGCCAGAGTTTATTTTCACTGTCAGTCTATATATGTACCTGCATGCCTGTGCATGTGCCTGTGTATGCATGTGTGTATCAGCATACTCCTTGCTCCGTTCTGCAGTAGAAGCTTTGTCTCTGGCAGCCACGCAGGGCCAGAGAGGTGCCCAGCCTGCAGGATGGGTGAGGGACTAGGACTTGCCCAGTTAGTGCTGCTGGATCATTCAGTGTAAGTAACTTTCTGACACAACAAGGCTGTCCTGCCAGAGGAACACTGAGTGGATATGCCCTTTATTCAACCACGCTGAACAAGAAGTTGCTGGATGGCTTATATGCCAGACCCCAGACTGCTCTGAGACCAGAACTAGTGAGACACTGGTCTAGATTCCCTGGAAGACATACATTCCTCATAGGATTTCTTTTCGGGGGTTCACATCATTTTACAGTACCTGGCTAGTCTGTGGGCTGGACGGGTCGTAAGAAGGTACATAATTCTTCAGAGTATCCTGAGGATTCAGGTGGGGAGGATATCTGATCGTTGGATGAGAGAAGTAGCTAGATGGGGCAGGAGGGAGAATAGCTTGTGCTGGAAATGGCAATGGTGAAGGTGGAGGTGGAGTTCTAGTTGAGATGACTGGAGAAGATAAAATAAAATTAAAATTACTTCGCATCTTGTTTCTTCTAAAATTCTTCACCTCTGTGTTACAGCAAGAAAAATAAAAAGTCAGTTATAAATCCGGTCACCACATTCGTGCTTCATGGCATCTTTGCAAAAAAACTTACATGCCCTTCCCTTACAACATCCCACACAATGCAAAGTGCTACTGTTTTTAAAATTCATAAATTGTGTATCTTGGTTCAATTTTGTGGGTTATGCCATCAAATATTTTCATTTTTTTCTTTGGTAATCATTCTCCAGTACAAAAGATACTTCCATTATACATTTTTCCCATCTACAGCCCAAATAAACAAAAATATTTTACTCAGTAAGTAAAACCTACACTTTATCCACAAAACTCCAACAGAGGAGAGAAAAGTCACCAAGTCTAAGAAACAGTTAGTGAGTGATTCCTCAGTTTATTGAACTCTTTCTGCCTCTTATGGGGACAGTGTAATAACTACTCTACAACAATACCAGTAATATTAACTGACTTTTGTTGAAAATGCGAATGAATATTAAACTTCAGGGCCTGGGAAACCAATCCATCCAATAAAAATAACACTGACGAACAAAAAAGTTTCTACCCTATACATTTTTTTAGCATTCTCTTTCTTCCCAGCCCCTACAAACACACATTTCTCTACCTACAGACTATATGTAATGTCTAAACCACCAGCAATGTTTTCTCAGTGAAAGCTATGTGCAGCATGTCCTGCTGCTGCCCAGTCGCCCACCTGGAAGTGGAGAGTGTTCTGCCACGCTGCACAACAACAGCATGAGCACATCAATACTGCTCTTCTGTACCACCTTTCATACCTTTGGGCTTGGCTTTCGTGGGTTGTTTGGTTTTTTTTTTCTCAGTTTAATTTTCAAATTACTTGTTATTTTTGAGCTGGGACCAAATCATAGTTTTCCCAAGAAAAATCAACAATAAGAATGTTCCGAAATTGATGCAAACCCTGCAAATCTCAAAACCATTGCTCACTGACATAACAGAAGAGGATACATGGTAGAAATCAGGTCTCCTAGCAAGTAAATATCTCATCTATAAATTAGGTTATGACTGTCACTCAAACACATATATCTAAAAATGATACACTAAATCAAATATAAAGATCTACTCGTAAGTATAGGGCCAAAAATAATTACAGAAACTTCTTTGGTGACCAGCTCATTTTAATCACAGCCCCACCAGTTCAATTTAATCATAAAACATTAGTTACTGCTCTGACATGTGGGAGCTCTGCAAAGCAAACATAAGTGAACAGAAATCTATCCCTTCCCTTTCACCCATCATCTCTGATGTGCTTGAGTATTTGCTAATAGTGGACACCTTACAGAGACCAGAATGACTGCAGGCTCAAACTAAGCAGATGTTAAGGGGAAAACAGTCCATAAAAAGGAACTGTGTAAAGAAGTTTTTAAATCAGTCTTACTCCTCTAGTCACCCATCTTTAATCAAGAAAATATTCTCTTTATGTTCAGTTTATATGGAGATGGGATGAGCTGCTGAGGGGAGACTTTTGAGGAGCGTGGTCTCGTCTGAAAACTCAGGATCACTCTTACCTCTAAAACTAAACAGACCATGATGATGGAATTTTCCTGTCATTCCTGATAAATCCTCATGATAACACGCATTCCAGCACATTTCAAGTGTCTCCTTCACACTTTAAGTGAAGTTTTACTATGGATTTATTATGGAGTTCAGAAAACAGATGTTGAAAAATATTTACCAGGACTGTGCTTCTTTAGACAGAGCATTCAGAAGAAGCACTGGTATTTCTTTGTGTCACATAGTGAGCATGGTTGTGACTTCTCTTTCTGTATTAAATTCTACCTATTCTGGTATTTAAAAACAACAGTCATAGCAACCTTAATGAAAAAGGATGTAGGCAAAAAGAGGAAACACAGGGAGGATTTTTCCTCTGACAGCTTCTTCATGCAGTCTACAGCTCATTTTATTCACTGGTTAATCCTAAATCCTCTCCAGTGACTTGAAGCAGTCAGACTACCTGAACTGAGCTTAATGAGCATTCCTGCAAGTATATTCTGACTTCTTTCACCTCTACTCTCATCAGTATTGTAAGCAGAACTAAGTCTGTAAGAAAGTCTGCAAAAATGCATCACAATCTGATTGTAAGAAAGCATAACAGACCAAATGAATAGGGAGGTATTTCTTCCTCCTCCATAACCCTCACCACTGTGTGCAACTCCTGGAATTCCTGGATGGTGATGCTGGGGAAAAGTGCTCAGTCTCGGTGAAGAATCCTGGGGAGAAGTAGGACTAAACAAAGGCTTTTCAGGTTTCTTCATTGTAGGAGAAGACATATCTGCAACAGAAAAAATGGAACAGTGACATTATCTTAGAAGCCTGTCTCAGAATGCATCATTTTGTAAACCAAAGATTATTTTTTTTTTTTACTGTTTTTGCATAAATATTATTTGGTAAACCAGCTCCCATATGACCAATAAACTGATTTTAAACTATTGCTTTCAAACTTGAGAATGAATAATAATCCCATAACTGGTCTTCATCCTGCAAAACAGAAACTACATTCCTTTCATTCCAGACAAGCCAAACAGTAAAGAAACGCATGTCTTCAGAACCTCCCTAGGCACTTCTCAGCTCCCCAGAACATCACCAAATCATCTGCTCCTTCAACAGCCACATAATTTTTATTGCCTTTTTTTAATGGAACACCTACATTCAGGTGTGTAGGGTAACTGCCATACACATGCTGGTTTATGGTATCTATTACTTTGTTATTTTAAACCCATCCCTTGCCCTTCCCAAAACCATAAT